GAGTTTTGTATGGGATTTTTTTGCCTTGTTATAATCTTAAATCTAATACACATATTGTAATATATAGTAAAATAAAATAAAAAAATAAAACAAGAACAAATCTGCAGCTCAATACACAGAAATATCTGTATTTATTTATTTTTATTTTATTTTATTTTTTATATTTTACGTTTAGTATTTTAAGATAGAGCATAGAAAATATATATAATTATTGATATAGTAGTAGTATATCTTTATTTGTCCCTTCACAGGGCAATTCATACAGCATCAACCTGACAAACAGACAAAAGTTTATAAGACATCGTGACAAAACTGCTAGAATGAATGAACGACCACAACAACAAAAAACAAACAAAAACCCGGGCATTAACGGTGCACCATTTGTTTATACTTATATATTTACATACTCTCATATATTTATATATCAACATATTAGATAATATAATAGAGTTGTGATTATAACAAGATAAAAATACAATTTCCAGTAAATAAATGTCTATTTATTTATTTTCAGTGTGGAAAAATATAACTCATGCGATTTATAAAATCTAAATGATGAAATTTATAATTTATTGATTTATTCTTTGAAAACCAGTATTAATATGTTATGCAGTCTTGCTTCAAGTAAATTGATCTTGTTTTAAGATTTTTTAGACTAGAAAAAAATTCCTGGAAAATAAGCCAATATTACTGATAAAGAAAATATATTTTTTTTCTGAATGTCCGCTACAGCCACACAGTGTCTTATTGAAACCGACTGTTGGGGAAGTGTTTTGGCTGAACCTCTCCGTCATGCCATGAAGAAGTCGGCGCAGAGATTTGTGGTGGAGCTTTAAAAGCAGAGATGCTTTATGGATGCTGCTCGGCCGTATTCCTCATTCAAATAATATTTGAAAGCTGAGGAAGTGCAGCTCTTGATGTGTTGCTCGCTGCAGAACTGTTTCTCCGTCTCTGTGTTATTCTGCTGCGACGGCTCGGCTCTGGGAAGTCGCTCAGATCTCGTGTGTAATGAATTATTAAAGTGACTCCTGACGGATCTGGAGGGTGATGCTTCATTTGAGGCCAAAGACGTGCCGCATCTGAAGAGTTTAATTGTGAAGTGGACTGATCCGTGTTCCTCATTAAATCTCCCTTTTATTCTGTTGCAGAGTGATTCATATTATATGGATTAATTTGAATAAGTTGTTTATTTAAGTCAGTCTGATCTGCATGGAAAACGTCCTCATATTTTAGCACGAGCAGAATAAATATAATAACCACATAACTCAAAGGAAAGAACCAGCCGTTGCACATCAAGAGCTGGACTCTAGATTCATGTCTAAAGTAGCATGAGAGATTTCAGTCGTACACAGGAGACTCATTAGTGCTGAAGCTCTTCTGCTCCCTCTCCACCTCTTTCTTGGCATTTGACCATTTATTAATGCATATTTGTGACTGGACGAGCTGCATTTGAAGCTGCAGAAAAATATATTCCTTTGAATTAATACTCAAAATGATTCTTTTGTTGGACATAAACCATAAACTGCTAGAGCTAGACTAATGAACTGTACAGTTAGACTGACAAATTGTTTTGTTCCTATTATTATTATTATAGTAACACATGTGATGTAAATTTAAATCCAATAAAATTATATATATATATAATTCGTGAATCACCGCTTTCTGAACACTTTGCAATTTGTCATTAAGCATATAATCCTGATGACTGAAGTGTGTTTGAATGTATTTTTTCTGTTGTTTATCAGAGAGGAAGATTCCAGAGGAAGATTGCATCATCTTGATTGATGGGCTGAACGAGGCGGAGTTTCACAAACCAGACTATGGGGACACCGTCGCCTCCTTCATCACCAAGATCATCTCCAAGTTCCCTAACTGGCTCAAACTGATCGTCACTGTGAGAACAAGCCTTCTGGTGAGACGGGAATATATAGTGTATCTAAAGCTGCGGGTCACGACACATGCATGGCTGGCACATCTGTTTTGAGCTGCAAAAACCAATGTTAAATACAAGTGATAAAATGCATCAAATCACATGAAGATAAATAATAGACTTAACTAGAAAAGAGAATCTAGTCCAATTAGGCCGATGGACCGATTGAGTGACAACCTCATCCTCAAAACCATAAACAAAACTACACAAGATGGACAATATGACAAATTAGATTACATTAAATACAGTTTTGATCGCAGTAAGGGTAAATAGGGTTTGTGTGACCACAATGTGTTTTGCACAGTGAATTATTGGCTGCTAAGAGCATGAAACTGAATTTCAAAAGACTTTTTTTACTTGTCATATTTCACCCCAAAATCAAAAGAAATAAAAATGATGAATAAAATTGTTACATTACAAATGTATTTAAAAAAAAAAATACTATTGTTATAAAAAATGGATATAAAAAGGTATTAAAATATAATTATAGATAGATAGAGAGAGAGAGAGAGAGAGAGAGAGAGAGAGATTGTTTTGCATATCAGTCATATTTTGCCCCAAAATAAAACTAAATATAAATATAAACACAATTTTATATTTTATATAATTTTATTATATATTTTATTTTACATAAAAAATAAAAACATAATATATGTTATATGTTATATTATTATTATATATATTAAGTTATACACACACACACACACACACACATATATATATATTTAGTATTTCTGCAGTATATAATAATTTCTTATTTTGTCTTCTGATTTGGTGGTGACATGTTTTTGTAACCCAGGCCAGTATATTTTTCTCGTCTGCTCAGATCAGGTTTGGTGTCATGTTCACCATCTCAGACTCTCTCCACCTCATCTTGTCACTTTGGGCAGGAGAATCTTGTAGCTCTAATGAGGAACATTGACCCTCCACATGAGACGGTACGACAGCTAGACAGTAATCCAGACAGGAGGAGGCCAAAAGGAAAAGGGAGCGAATTAGAGAGAGAGAGAGACAGTGTTCGTGCCAGCTGCGTTTTGACAGTTTGAAAGGTAGAGCTCGACTAGCAGAGCAGAATCATCTAGTGTTTGATATGTGTCAGACGACAGATTGGAGTGTGTGTGTGTGTGTGTGTGTGTGTGCACAAGCGCAAATGTGTGTTTTTGTACTTATGAAAGCCTCCTAATGCGTTCTGCTCTAGCTGTCACTATAAGTGAGGAGAGCTACTAGTCTGGCGTTCTCGCTCAATAGGACTTTACAATATTTTTCAGTCTTTTGACAATATTTGTTATATATCTTGAGATTAATGTATTTGCTCTGAAATGATTTAAAATGCACATTTTTTATATCCAGTAAGCCACTGTAGACTAGTAATTTAAAATGTTTAAGAAGTAAAATGCAGTAAAAATCTACTGTAGTTAACATAGTTGAGGCATGCTTTACTTTACTTTAACTAAATAAAGACAAGCAAGATTCATATTTAATCATTTTTATTCATGTGCACTGATATTACAATACATACTAATAAACAAATATTTACATATACTACTTTACATAAAAGTTTGGGATCAGTAAGTTTTTATTTGTTTTGATAGAAATTAAGAATTTTATTCATTAAGGACGCATTAAATTGATCAAAAGTGACATTAAAGATGTATGAGAAAATATATGTCGGTAAATATTGGTGCATATAAATGAGATTGATTAAATATGATTCTTCCTTGTGAAAAACAGTGTGGAAAACATGCCTTGATCGTTTGAACTGATAATCAGGCACTTTGTCAGGTTGCTGGTGTGATTTCATCTGTTGATTTGTGTGTGATGATGACAGTCTGATGCATCCGCAGCATCACCGCAGCCGTCAAAGCCGTTCATCAGCCGTTTCTTCAGGTAGCAGGAGCGTCTCACAGGAGTGTGGTTGTGGTTCCTCATAAGGAACTATATGAGACTCGTGTGTGATGTAAACTTCATTGTGTTTCTCTTTCCTTCTCCACTGCAGTGCTGTGTTATTGCTGCAGTATGAGCAGGATTATTGATTGGTTGGGATGTGGGTATATGTGTGTGAGTGACTGTGTTTAACCAGTCTTCCAGTTGACCTTGAAACTTGGAGGGATGGTAGTACTCACACTGTCTACAACATCACTAAGGCTCGCCCCAATCGGCCTGAAATAATACAATGACATGAAGAGCAAAAATGATTAATAAAACGCTATTCTTTATGACAAGTAATATTGTCAAGATTTTAATAAACACTTACTTATATATACTTACAGTTTTCATGGGAGAAAAAATGAACTCGACTGAATTCAAAACTTCAGTCAGGAAATCAACATTGTCCTCCTCAGAGAAAACTAGTAGGAAAAGTTTTGGATATATTTCTCGACTCTAAGACAATTTTTGACTCTTCATTCCCTTCTTGTCTTTACAGGAGATCACCAGTCTGCTGCCCTTCTCCAAGATCAGCCTGGACGAATTCCCAGACAACAAGGAGATCGGGACGGACCTGAACGCCTACATCCAGCACCGCATCAACGGCAGCCAGAACATCCTCAACAACATCTCCCTCAACGGCAAAGCCGACCCCATCATCGTGGGCAGAGTCAGCTCCCACCTCATCTCCCGCAGCCAGGGCTCGTACCTGTACCTCAAACTGACCCTTGACCTCTTTGAGAAGGGTCATCTGGTCATCAAAAGCGCAAGCTACAAGGTGGTGCCCGTCTCTCTGTCGGAGCTCTACCTGCTGCAGTGCAACATGAAGTTCATGACCAACTCTGCGTTCGAGCGCGCCGTGCCCGTTCTCAACGTGGCGCTGGCGTCCCTTCACCCCATGACGGATGAGCAGCTGTTTCAGGCGCTGAACGCGGGCAGCGAGCGGGGAGAGCTGCTGTGGGACGACTTCCAGCAGAGGATGGAGACGCTCTCGTGTTTCCTCATCAAACGCAGGGATAAGACACGGATGTTCTGCCACCCGTCCTTCAGAGAGTGGCTGGTGTGGCGAGGAGATGGAGAGAACTCCGACTTCCTGTGTGACACCAAGTGAGCTTCAGTGCTGCATCTTAACAAGTGTCTTAGGGTACTTTTACACTAGCATGTTTGGTTTGATTGACGTCAGAGTTCAGTACGTTTGGCTAGTTTGAAAGCTGTCATGCAAACGCAGTTACCGAACCCAAGACTACCTGAAGGAGGTGGTCTGAGTTCGATTGCACTCGAACTGTGGCACGGTTCGCATGAATATGAAAGCAACACGGACTCGGGTGCACACTTGTTCAGGAAGTAAAGTAACCTGCGCATGCGTTTTAGCCGATTACAATGTATATTCTTCAATAAAACACATATAAGTGATGATAATGTTGCCGATTTACCTTGGATTCGAGTGAGAGTGAGCCTGGAGTGTATTCGCGTGTAGCAACTGCAATCAGAGCGGCAAATGAATGGAAATCCGCTGTCTCCTCAAAATAGCCATCTACATGCGCCACACATACAGTAAACCCATATGTCGTTTACTCTGCTGCGCATAATAGCACCAAATTAATTAAAAAACACAATATATTGACCAACGTTCTGTTTTCTGTCATACGTTCTGCACGTTTGTGATGACGTAAGATGACCGCAAACGCACCGGGGTTCGACAGAATCAAGAGAGTGTGAAACCAGACCAACGCTACGGTCACCCTTTTTTTAAGTCACCCTTGACAAAATTGTAAAATAAAAATATTTTGCAAAAAAACTATGTAGTTTTTAAAACCATCAAGATTTTTGCAATTCAACGTTTTTCTTTTTTTTTTTTTACTATTTACATTTTAAATATCTTTATTCTTCTATATTGGTCATTACCATTAAATAATTTTTACTTAATTATTATATTATTATAATTATATATAAATATTTATTAGAATAATTTATATTATATTATATAATGCATAATGCACATATATAATACAATAATTACATAGCATGTTAATTATACTGTTGCAATGAGATATATATATATATATATGTGTGTGTGTGTGTGTGTGTGTGTGTGTGTGTGTGTGTGTGTGCGCACATTTTTACTTAGATAATAATTTACTTTATGTATCTATAATATATATTAGTACATAAATTATACACATTATATATGTAATTTTTTTGTGTTATAGTAAAGAAACGTCCTGTTGCTGCAGGAAAATGTCAACACAGGATAAGAAACTGCACTCATTACTCATTTTCTAGAGGTGCTGATAAGCTGTGGTGATCTTAGACTCCAGTTTTAGCTGTAATTGGGATTCTGTTCCTCTCCTGTTCTCATTGCGGTGTGTCCGAGTGCTCTGATTGGTCCATCGGTGTCCTATTGATCACTCGCCTCCCTGAACCCTCTCCCGGTCCAGACTAGAAAAGTTGGCTCTGAAAAAGAGGGACTTCTAAAAAGTTCCCTGCCTTGTTATTCGGCTGCTGAAAGAGGGAGAAAAGAAAGGCGACGGATTGAGTTTAATGTAGAGGAGATGCAGTGCTGATCAAAGCCAGCTGCATTCATGCGTGGCCTTTTAATGAAGCTTGGTTAATTAACACCAGCGAGAGCCGGGGAAACACTAAAGCAGCCTATTCCACCCTTCTCCTGTGTTTTGCAGGGCCGCCGTTCCAGACAGGCCAAGCCATGCCAACACAGAGACGCTTTCAGCGCCTTGCATCAAATACTATGCTTTTAGTCAGAGATTTACCTCACGAGAAGCTCGTTTGATCTCAGAGATTAAAAGATTTGACCCTTAATTACATGCGACTGATCCTTCATTAAAAGAAATCTGAATTTATAAAGGCAGAAACTGACATGAAAAGTGAACCTGATGTTAAAAAACACAACTTTTGTTAAGAGTCTCATATTTTAAAAGCTTACAGGCCTTTCCAATTCACCATCGAGGACATGAATGAGAATAATTGCTAGATTAAATTGCTAAAAATCGTGTGTGATGAACATGAAGCGTGAGTAGAAAATAAAGGCAGATGATATGAAGGGAGGAGTGTTTCTGCAGTCAGCAGCTTTTGTGTCTCAGTGCTGTTTCTCGTCGTCTTCCTTCATAAATGCATGTGTTTCTCTGCAGGAGTGGACATGCACTGATGGCCTTCATGTTGTCAAGGCAGGAGGGAAAGTTAAACAGGCAGCAGACGATGGAGTTGGGACACCACATCCTGAAAGCACACATCTTCAAGGTACCTGATGCGTCTGTCTGGAGAGATCTATGCGTACAGCTAAAAAAGTTACAAATATTAATAAAATTAGGAGCACAGTTGAAATCCATTTTTTTGAGATAATAGCATTAATGTGCCACAATATAACAAAGAAAACAAAGCTTATCAGTTCAATTCAGGAGCACATTAATTAACACCATTGAGAATAATCATGACAAAGCAGTTCACCTTCCGATCATCAACCATATTTAATATAGTAGTTATAATTTAATAGCAAATATAATTATAATTTAAAAACAAACCATTTATAACTTAATAAAATAAAATATTTATTATAATAATGCAAATAATTTTTATACTTGTATTAATTGTATTAATTATATCAGTATTATTATTGTTATTTTGTATCAACTTAAATTATGCACATTTATCAAATCAATAAAGAAATGTAGCTGTAATTCTATTGTACTATAAATATGTACAATATTTTTACGACATAAATTTACGGTACTAAAAATTATTGGCTGCCTTATTTTTTGCTTTCAATCGTTAAATCAAAGAGATTTTATCTTGGCTGAAAACAGCTACAGATTTCTAAAAGATGGTTGGCATGTCATATTGCATTTTTAAATGCACGTTATAAGTGAACTCACAGCAGTCGCAGAGATGGAGTTTGTTTTTATTGATTTATGGCTATATGCATTTATGTATTTAAATTATAATACAAATGCATACATCTATAATATGAATTTTTATATTTATGATATAATATTGGTAATACTGTATATGTGTGTGCTTTTTTGCAGGGTCTGAGTAAGAAGACCGGTGTGTCGTCCAGTGTTCTTCAGGCTTTATGGATCAGCTGTAGCACTGATGGTCTTTCTGCTGCTTTGGTCTCTCTTAGGAACCTCTACACACCCAATGTCAAGGTCAGCACTTTCTGTTTTCAGCAGATTTGCTTCCAGATGTTTTTCCTCATTCATTTTTTCCATAGCAATTTCAACATGTTACTATTTTAATGCATTTAGACTGTCTGAAGCTGTCTTCCTCAAATGATACCTGGTGTTGATGCATAACTGTATCTACACTAATGAGAGAGCCAATTAGAATGCAGCATTTGCCACTGACCTTTGACCCCTACGATGAGTCCTGTTCCCCGTTGAATGACATCACAGCTCCCTGTGCAAGCGTTTATAATGAGATGTCATCATTGGGACTGCTAAAGTCCAGCATTCAGACACATCACTTCATTTATTCAGTAATATGTGTAAATCATAGACGTGAATGTATTTCAGTGACTTCCTGTATTTAATGAACTGATTACGAGACCATTGAGGACAATTTCTCATTAATGTAATGCAAAACAATGTTATGATTATTAGAGGTCGACCGATGTATCGGTTTTGCCGATTAATCGGCACCGATAGTTTTTTGCTGGAACTATCAGTTATCGGCAAAAATCCATGCCGATAGTTTTCCGGGTTGCGTCCGTTGCTGGAACGGCTGAGAAGGGTCTGCTGTCATTACACAGTGCGAGAGCGGCCTCTAGTGGTTGAAATCACTGACAGCACGTGCTATTTGTTTAGACACGTGATACTGCACGCTGAACAGAGCGGGAAACTTCAGACGTGGATTTAAATGCAGCCGACAGAAAATCCTGCCGCGCTATTCACATAGTTTCCATTAAATTACATTATATTTGTCCCGAATTGTTGTTAATGCTTAATTTATAGAGCTATAATATAGATCTCGCTTTCTCTTTCCGTTTGCTCCGTTTTTTAAACACCGAACTTCAAACTCATCTATGCCTCATTGTTCGTTCATTCTTGAAGTAAACTTGTGTCCGTTTGGTGATTAAATAAACTGTTTTAGACCGCTGCTCGAATTGAACGCGACACGTCCGGAGTGTATGTGATAACGGTGAGTTCTCCTAGACTCAGCGCTGCACTTTTATTTTGATTAGATAATCATCAACTGTTCAAGAATAGAAGAAGTTAAAGTGTGAGAGTATACATACAATATCCATATGTATATAATTTTAATGCTATAGCCTTTGTGTATATATTTAAAGATGTGCATCTTTAAGCATGACAGTTGAAATTAAATGGTAACACTTTAAAATAAGAGTCCATTTGTAACATTACGATTAATGAAAGCTGTGTAATGAAAGTATTGTTCCTTGTTAGAGTGTGTTAATTTCAACATTTTTATTATTATTGTTACTACTACTACTACTGCTACTACTAGTATGGTTCAGTACTCTTTTTTTAATAAAGCATTATTTTAGTTTTTGTTCAGTATCCATTTTTAAAACTATCGGTTAATTAATCGGTATCGGCCAGTGTGGTCCAACCTAGCTATCGGTATCGGCAAAATCCACTATCGGTCGACCTCTAATGATTATGTCTGTTCTGATCAAGCATTGAAATCCGTCATTTATGGTCAGATTAGTGCTGCACGTCCATCGGTTTGATCTGAAGATTATAAAAAGACAACAGATAAACGCTGGAAAGCAGACTTGGCATTTTAAGTAATTATCAAACCCTTTTAGATTTAGTGTTAATTTAATAATCTAATGGTAGATTAAAATAGTAAAGTCGTCCAGATGATTCCCCTGTGCTGGACTGAGTGTGTGATAGAGGACGGATGCTGTACTGAGACTCAGAGCAATTATCAGCAGGAATGATGATTTTATTTTCCTCCTCATCTATTAACATTCATAACGTCCTCCACTTCACGGTTTTTCCTCACAGCACAGGTTGATGTGCTGCTTCTTTTGAATGCTATGGACTGAAAACACACATTGCTCACGATGACAGATGCAGTGAACGTGTTGTTCTCGATCCCATTTTTCCAGTTTTTCTCTATTGTTTTTGTTGGCCATCATGTTATTGGATGAATCTCTTAAAAACACCATCCAGGTCACATTTTACCCCAAAATCAACAGAAAACAGATATAATAAAATAAGACATTTTTTAAATGTATTTATTTAACTTCAGAATCAACAGAAAACAAATAAGGAAATAAAAACAAGAAATTATATATATTTTTTATTTATTTATTTATCATTTCACTCCAAAATCAATAGAAAACAAATAAGAAAATAAAAAAGAAGAAATTGTATTTTTATTATTTTTTTGTTGTTTATATATATATATATAACATACTAAAAAGTCAGATTTTTGTGAGTTTTTTTATTAAAATTTTTCTGGTCCTGGATAAGCAACTATGGATGGATGGATTTTTATTTTTTTTTTGCTTATAACCTTTGAACTGATTATTTTCTCTCCTCATCTTGTGTCGATTAAACAGGGTGTTTTCACTTTCCACTAACAGTTAACAGTTTTTCTCTCATCTCAGTGTAAATAAGTCGTCCTTGAACTCTTTAAATTGCTCTCAGTGACTGTTAGTCGAGTTTGGCCTGTGATTGCTGCATGCAGCTGTATTTTGTATTTATCTTTCGCCTCTTCTTCTCCATCCCTCTCTCTCTCTCTTCCTCAAGGTGGTATCTAAACATTCTCATGTGGTTTTGGTAAATAAAACACGTTTCATTTCCAGGCGCTCTCGGGCCTCTGGGGCCACGCAGCCGCTGCTGATTAAATGTTTGTTATTCATACGCTTATCAAAAGCAGAATCCAGGCTGATTAATGACTGGGACACAATGTGCCGCCACACACCGGAGCACTTAATGAGCCCGTGAACTGTGATCAGCATGCTTTACCAATCAGCAGTTTGTTCTTAATGAACTTTAAACACAGGATGAGGCATTGTTTTTACAAAGAAAGACACAATATGAGGGCTGGAGGAAGATAAATGACAACCGACAGTTCAAATGCTGCAAATCACTCTCGATTTTAGGGATTTGGTTGAAGAGGCTGAAAGCAAACCTTGTGAATTGTGAATGATGTCTAGAGTTCTTGAGCTCTCTAGCATCATTTGTCAGTCTCTACACTGTCTGGTATCTGTCTGTAGGTGAGCCGTCTGCTGATGCTCGGTGGAGCGAATGTAAACTACCGTACGGAGGTGTTGAACAACGCCCCGGTCCTCTGCGTCCAGGCTCACCTGGGCCATCAGGAAACGGTCAGCCTTCTGCTGGAGTTTGGAGCAAACGTGGATGTGGTTTCAGAGAACAGCATGAGTGCTTTGTGTTACTCAGCGGCCGCTGGGCATCTGGAGCTGGTCAGCCTTCTCTGTAAGAGAGGAGCCAAGGTCAGTACAGATATATTTATGTATATACTGTATGTAATTAATATTAATTTATAATTTATTTTTTATTTATCATATATTACATATATATATTATATACAGATATGTTTAATTTATGCAATTTCTATGATTCATATTTAAACATTATTTTTTATATGATTATGAAACTACAATTTAAATTCAACATGAAGTTTCATTAAAAAAAAACGTTTTTCAAAAAAAAAAAAATTTTACTTTTTGTGTGAAACAGGGTATTTCAACTTGTGTTGTCACGATACCAACTTTTTGACTTCGATACGATACCTGACTAAAATATCCCGATACTTCTACTGAACCGATACCATGACAAAAACATAAAACAACAGGAAAAGTAATTAAATAACAGATGACCCACATGGAACTTATAGTTCATTATTTTATCTATTAATTAAAAAAAAAAACCTCTTTGACCAGTGTGTGCCTACCCTGCTTTTTGAGCATTTTGTTTATTTTATTTCAAGTAACAGAATAAATTTTATGATAGGTTTAGTTAACTATAATAACCCTGGTAAAAAAGTAAACAGGGACAATTTTGATCGATAACTAACTCTAACTTTTAATCAATAACTCTAACCTAAGTCTAATATTTGAGGTGTAGTTCCTATCAAAACCACGCTCATGTGCATGTTGAATCACTTACACAGTGTTCATGTTGTGGTTTGTTTTCAGGTGGATCACGTGGACAAGAGCGGCCAGTGTGCGCTGGTGCATGCGGCCCTGCGGGGTCATTCAGAGGTCATCGAGTGTCTGCTGGAGCTGAGCTGGAGCAGTGAGGGTCAACAGGACCTGAGCCTGAAGAACAAAGCCCTGCAGCAGGGGCTCATCGCGGCCTGCAGTATGGGACACATTCATGTGAGCTCTCACGCACTCTCACACACACACACACACACAGACACACACACACACATACATACATACACACACATACAGACACACACACATACAGACACATACACACACACACATATACATACACACACACACACACACACACACACTTTCTATTATGGTGCGATATTTACAGGGGCATTTTTAACTTTTATGAGGGCAAACTGTTTTTCTAACCACCTAAAAACATGTAGTGTGTCACCAATTTGTGTCAGATGATTCAGTTGAGTTATTTAATTAATGATTAATACTCTGAAAATTGCATCTGGTACTTATAAAATCAAATCAGCATCACATACAAATGCAGGTGTAAATAATGCACAATAAATCATCTGTTCGAATACAGTTTATTGCGAATATACAGCTCGATACTGTCAACCATAGCAACAGATTTTGATTTATTCAGTTGTGGATGTCTTCTTGACATTCAGTGTTTTCAGAGCTGATTTTTTAGGTTTTGTTTTTTCCACTTTAACTGTCTGACAGTAGCATGTGCGAAAACAACCACACTAAACCCATAATTAAACCTAATATTTTACAAAATATGTCAAATGTTGGATTTTTTTTAAACCCATAGGAATTTATTACAATATCTGAGACATTTCCATCGCCATCGATGTCATTTGTGACCCTGGACCACAAAACCAGTCATAAGGGTCAATTTTTTTTAAGTTGAGATGTGTACATGATCTGAAAGCTGAATAAATAAGCTTTTCATTGATGTATGGTTTGTTAGGATCGGACAATATTCGGCTGAGATACAACTATTTGAAAATCTGGAATCTGAGGGTGCAAGAAAATCTAAATATTGAGAAAATCGCCTTTAAAGTTGTCCAAATGAAGTCCTTAGCAATCCATATTACTAATGATAATAAATTTTTGATATATTTACAAAATATGTTCATGGAACCATGATCTTCACTTAATATTTTAATAATGTTTGACATAAAAGAAAAATCGATAATTTTGACCCATACAATGTATTGTATTGTATTGTATTGTATACAGTGTATTGTATTGTGATGTATTGCTACAAATATACCCGTGCCACTTATGACTGGTTTTGTGGTCCAGGGTCACATTTGTGGTTAAGTCTTGGTTATTTTCTGACCCTAGTGCATCCACATACACAAGCTCACATATTTGTACACATAAAAGGAGTTTAAGTGGATGTATGTGCAGTGAACTCAAGACCCAGGCCTTGAAGTATAATGAATCTCTTAGATGTTGTGTGGATGCGGTTGCCATGGGAGATCAGCCATAGCAACACGCTGGTCTCTTAGGTCAAGCTGTTTGAGCCTATAAAGAAACGGAGGGAAGAAGCTCTTGTGCGTTTGATTTAGTGTTGGGATTCTTCCAGCATCAGCGCTTCAATCAGAACTTATTCATTCAACTTCCTGTTGATCGACCCAGATAGTTTTCTTTGTTGCTGTCGAGAATTATTGCAAATCTTGCCAGTAGTGGGTGAAATTAGAAAATGAAGCAGCCATGTGTCAGACTCTGTTCCATGTTTTGTGTGTGTCCTGCTCCCCATGTGCCTTCCCATGCCCTT